TTATTAATTCATTATTAAAACAGCTTAAACATCTCTAAAGCTACAGCACTGCATAACTTGCAGGGAAGGACAGCAAGTACTTTCTTGAAAACTATTGAATTATTAATGACTTTTAACAATTCTTGGAACAATGGGGAAATCCTTGAGGATTAAGAAAAAACAAAACAACCAAACAACTCCCAAACCATAATATATTCTCTCTCCTCTTCAAAAAAAAACCAACAAAACCCACACCAAACCAAAAACCCAACCCTAAAGCAAAACCAGTGTGCCCATATTTTAAAAATTACAAGCTGTGTGATGTGTAAGTACAGCTTATCACTCTGATATCTCCCAGACACACCAACAACTGAGATTAAAGGACATCATAATTAAGAACTGACCAATGTGGTTTCACAGAGAACAGATTTCTGTAAACATTATTTTTTAATTAATTACAAGTCCACATTGGTAAAAGTAGCTGTTGACATCATAAATTTCTATAGGGCCATGTTCTTGGCCACACGTGTTAACAAACGTCACTGGAACACATTAAATGCTTGTTATTAAATAATTGTAAATAAGGATTTGTCCTAGAGAATCCCAGAGTCTGCAGCTATTTGGCATCTTTATCAAGAATGTTAATGAAATTATATAATAATTGCAAAGAAAATCTGCAGATTAAAAAAAGCTGATGACAAATTAAAGCAATGAAAAGACTGATTATGTAACCAAGCTTTCTGGAAAAGTTGCTCTACAAAACATCCAGTTATTAAGGTATCTGCTAGAGTAACTCTGTGAAGTACTGTTCTGCCAGGGGACAAGGGTCAGCACAAGAAACACAGACACCAACTTTAAAAATAAATGTATAAATTTACTATAGTGCAACACAGCAAAGAATTACAAAAGAAGCAAAGAATTATAAAAAGACAAGCTTAGCAATGCACCAAATCATCATTCCAGAGTGTCCATAGTGATTAAGAAAGATGCCTTACCAGTTACCCTTTAATACATGACCACGATCTGCATCCCCCGCAGGGGAGCCCCGATCCCAGGGAAGGGCCAGAGAACCTCTCCCTGGAAACGGGAAATCCTCCCCACCATGGCCACTTGCAGTGAGGGCTCTGTCTGTGCTGTGAGAGGGTCCAGCTTTTATACTGTTAAACAACCAAGCTTATGTCACTATCCAGTGCAGAAAATATCTGGCGCTCTGCTCTCCTTGGTTTTCACCCAAAGCCTGGCCAGGGCTCAAAGGAAATCAAGGGAGTCAATTCGGACCCTCTACTGCCAAACGAGGCCAGTTATCTACTGCCATGACCTTGACTGGTCTCTAAATACAGGAAGATGGATACCTTCATATCTCATTAACGAACAGATGCAAATCTTCACTAATAAGCAAATACCAATATATCTTAATAACAAGTACAGATGTTTACAAAGGTGTAGTCTTACATATTTTACTAAAAGTTATACAGAATTTTGGCCAATAAGCAGATACATGGCTAAATGTAACATTAGGTTGGAAGGTTCATCTATAGGTCAACTCTGGGTCAGGGCCTCTTGTCCAGGCCTCAGCACTTTAAATACATCACAATGTTTCAGAATATGTTCATCGTGTGCTGTCCTTAAACCCTGTTAACTTGAGTTTCTAGAAACAACGGAAATGGGTCCCCAGAGGCAATTTCAGAACAACTGAAGAATGCACATAAGAGGGTAAAACTGAATGTAAGTGGTGTAGTGAGGGAGCTGAGGACAAAAAGAGGTTGCTGAGAGCAGAGCAATGTTATCACTGTATTCTACATAAACCAGACTGCTACAGAATACTGCAACTTGTTCCTGTCTCTGGACTTAAAAAGCCAAAAATGCACCAATCAATATATAAAATGCCAGCAAAGAACAATAAACAACCAAAAAAAAAAATTGAAAAAGAGAAAAACCTGCTTTGACTGAGACTAGTAATCCTCTCTAGCTCATACAGCAAATTATGTATGGAGTTAATTATGACTACAAATATGCAGGATGAAATTTTTGATACCATAAAACTATTTCAGTTACCAGGACTGAGCAGTGCAGGCAGATACAGAGGCTGAAATTAAAACAAGTTCAAATGAGAAGACACAGCATTTTTAGTGCAATTAATCACTGCAACAAGTACTGAGTGACTGGCTGGTCTCTTTTATCACTCCTGACTCCCTCAGAGCTGGATCTCTTTGGTAAGAGCAAGGCCCAGTTTGCTGGGTCAGTGGACAGTCTTCCTCCAGGGTCTGTGTTACCAATGCTGTGTAATGTCTTCATCCAAGCTGCACGGTGCAGTTTATTTGCTGGAGGGATGTCATCCAGAGGAACCTGGGGAATCCATGGATAGAGAGCAGCCTGATGGACAAGGACCCAGGGATAACTAAATTGGACACCACCTGGCCACGTGCCCTGGCAGCCCAGAACCCCCTGTGTCCTGGGCTGGATCTCCCGCAGCAGGGGCAGCAGGTGAGGGAGGGGATTCTGCCAACTCATCCCTTGCCCTCAGAGCAGTGGATCACGGCCACAGTCTCCCCGGGGCCCTGCCTTAGCCCCCCTCTGGCAGGACACAGGTGCTCCTGGACAGACCTCACTCCTCACAAGCAGCACAGTGCTGCACAGTGACGTCCCCCCCTCGCACCAGCCTGAGCCAACCCAGCAAACAATCTGCTGGAATGCTGATGGACAGGGATGGATTGTCACAGAATGATTTTCTTCCACATGCCACATTATGCAGGAGAATATATTACTGAATTAACTACAAAATCCAGGCGGCCATGAATTATCCATGTCTAGAGAGGTCTTGTTAGTAACTTCTAAATGACAGGAAATAGGACTCCAGAGTGCAATCCACTAAGAAAAACCTCCTTTAATTCCTGGGTTTATCGTACTGGGTGGGGAAAGTAGTGAACGTTTGCTCAAAGTATGGATGTGTGGAGTTCTGAGGAGAAACTGTGCAGACAACTGAACAGCACCACAGCAGGAAGGACAACCTGTGGGCAGGGGGGGGTGTGTTGTGTAGGGAGGGATGGTACCAAGACCACCACACACCAAACAGACAAGAAACCACATTCTGGTGACATTTTATTTTGTTGTCTTCTGATCTTGCCCATCTCACTGCAGACCTTACACATCCTGCAGAGTCCAGACACGTCTGCTTTCAGGGCAGCACTTGCAAGCACAGTGGCATCTGGTTGGAAAGGCAGTTCCAGAGACCACCCTGGCCGTACAGCACTCCCCCCCATCAGGGCCAATGTGATCATGCTGGTAATAACACACATGTACAAACCTGCTTCCTGCTTCCCTGTGAATTTCAGCAGCAGCAACTTTGTCAGACAGTGCAAATTTTGCAATTTCCTGGTACAGTGGGTCTTCGGATAACAGAAATTCTGGAGAATCTATTCTTTGAAAAAGAATAGGATTGCCCGTGCTGCTGCTTCTTGGTAGCTTCTATGACACCTGCTGCATTTAGACAGTGGAACAGGTTGCCCAGGGAGGTTGTGGATGCCCCAGCCCTGGAAGTGTTCAAAGCCAGGCTGGATAAGGCCTTGAGCAACCTGGTCCAGTGGGAGGTGTCCCTGCCCATGTTGGGGGAGTGCAGATTAAATGATCTTTAAGGTCCATTCCAACCCCTTAACACTCTATGATTCTATGATTTATGGAGCACAGGAAGATATTATTCCTCATAATACAGAGCTAATGCCAACACATGACTTAAAATGATGATCCCTCTTCTACTAACCTTTTCTACCCAGGGAAGCCACTGCTAATATACGTCATGAGCACAGAGGAAGTGGTGCTGAAAAGAAACAGGTGATGTAAGACAATGGAGGTGGCATCTGCAGTGCAGGAAGAAAGGACACTGTGGAAGCACGGGCACGACAAAGAACCACATGCTGGCAAGGCAGCTCCATGAACCTGGTTCCAGCACTAGCAGGCTGCCAATGCAGGTGTGCAGTATTGCAGCACGTTTCCCAGGTCAGTCTGAAACAAGGGGGCTTCAGTGGGCACACAAAGGCCATCTCAGTATATTACTTACTGGGGGCTCTGAAAGGCCAGTGAGTCTCTAAAGGGCTGGAGAGCAATTATTCCTCGCTGCACTAGAAGACTCTTTATGCATCTTTAATGCCCAGCATTACAGGAGACAGATGCCAGGGGAACGGTGGGCTCCTGACAAGGGTAAATGATGATGTCCCATCTCTTCCAAGCAGACCTGTGCTCATCTGCTGCTGAGCCTAAACACCAGGGCATGAATTAGAGCCTTGTGCAACAGGCTACAGCAAACACTGGGAAGGTCTCTGCTCTTCTGTGGCAGCCTTGCTGACAACAGGCAGGACAGTGATAGGGCAAGCCAAAGACTTTGCATTCTGCACAGCACTGCTTAGTTTGTGTGCATTATGTGCAAGAAAGGATTTCCCCCTTGAAGAGACCTAAACATTGTGCTAGTCAGTCCCTTATGGGGAGAACTGCTAAAAAAGAACCCTGATCTCACCCATCTGAGGAAAATGACAAAACAGACATCTGCTGTACTGGAAACCACTAAACAAGCAACTAATGTGACCAATCTGAGACTGAGATGTAACCAGAGCAGGAATCACACTGGGTACACTGCTAGTGCCACTGTCCAAGGGAACTATACCAGAAGAGGCAGCCTCTGCACCACAGCTTTGGTTTGAATCCCTCACAACCGAGCAGAGGCAAAAGTTTCAATATCAAAGTCACCGAGTAGAATTGAGTCACAAGTCCCAAAGACATCCAGTTGCTTATATTAGTGCTGTGAGTTATGAGTTGGACAGAAGTGGGGCTTGTAATTGAAAAGCTTTAGAATTACACCTTCTCATCCTCTAGGGATTTGCTTCGGCCTCGCTTGCGGCTGGTTTTAGGAAATTCAGCTCTCTGTGCAACTTGGGGTGCTCCTTCCTCACTGCTCGCACTCTCATTGTCCACCCGCCGTGGACGACCCCTCTTTTTCCTCATTTTTTCAACTCCAGCAGTGGGGAGTTTCTTGGCAGCCAGGGTCCCAGCTTTCTTCTTTTTGCCCCTGGTCAAAGGACGTTTCTTCCGTTGCTTCCTCTGCTCTTCCCTTTGGCGGATTTTCATTAGCTTCTCAAAGCTTTTGGTGGTCATTGTGTTCATATCAAACCAGTCCTGCAGGGTTTAGAAGGCAACAGGTTGGTACTGATGGTGGTGGAAATACCAAATAAAGCCTATCAGGGGTTATAATAAAGCTGTCTTGTGGGACAAGTTTTCCTGAAGTGTGAGATCTGGAAAGGCAGCTGCCTAACAACACTCTGTTCTTTGATGTGTCTCAAGTGTCACTCTGTCTCAAGGATGCAGATTTGATTTGGCAATTGCCTGGTTAAAGGTTTGGGAAATGCTGCAGAGCTGAATTGAGCAGCAGCAGCTTGGGACAAGGCATGTGACATAACACGACAGCTGCTCCCCGGAACATAAGACCAGCTGTGTTCAAGCAAACCAAAGGCTACTCCAGTTTAGGACCCTGTTCCCAACAGTAAGGAAAAAATAAAATAAGCACACCCCCAGCATTTCCTTCCCAAGACACTCTCCCCACCTCCAACAGCCTGGGGTTTGAAGTTCCACTCCACCTGCCTTACCTCAGCATGCACAGAGTTGATGTGATACTTGACCCCACTCTCTGAAATGAACTCCTTCTCACACAGGAGACACTTGTATTTACCAGCCACAAAGTCTCCCTGGCATCAAAACAAAACAAAAAAATCCATCAACAATTGCTGACCAGGAGGCTGATACATCTCTATATTGTATTTTAATCTTACTCAGACAGAACCCAGTAAAAACTAGAAACTCTCATTCATGTCAGACAAAGCTTCAGCTCCAGCACTGACATGACTGACCAGCTGTGCCCACAAAGCATAGGACTGCTCTGTGAGATGTCATAAGGTCTCCAGCACTGGATCTGGAAAAACTGCTCTTGTAGCTGTGCATCTACAGGTAGGACTGCTGTTTCATTGTCAGGGATGCCATGAAGGTGCTTCCTACTGGTCTCAAGCAGTGTTTGCCACGGCAGCCTCATTAGCACATAGGGGAACACTCAAATTGGGGGTTGGAACGAGATGATCTTTAAGGTCCCTTCCAACCCAAACCGTTCTGTGATTTTATGAACTTGTGAGGATCTCAGATTAGCAGATGGCAGGACAACAGCTTGAACAAAGGGATATCAGAAGGACAGGGACAGTAGGGCTGTTACAGGAAGGCTACCAACCAAGGTACATGTGCCGAGGTGAGATTTGAGTCCTGAGACGCTGCCGTACACAGATTCACAACCCTGAAACAAGAAAAAAAAGCATGTCAGTAACATTCTAGTAAGAAATCACTTCTTCCTGCACAAGGTCTTATTGTCTGGAAGATAATTCCAAAAGGGCTAAGAGAGGTAGAGGAAGGGAGATATGGAGTCCTACAAAGCCAGAAAGCTTCTGGTAAAAAGACCATTGAAAGAGCTAAGCTTTCAGTAAGCTTAATATTTGTTTTTCCAGTTTCTGAGCCCCTTTGGACATAATAAAGAGACTCCTGTGACAGTTACACTCACCCTCTATCAAAAGCCTGATTAAAATGATAGTTTGCTTTTTGCCTGAAGTGCAACAGAGATTAATTTCAAACAAAGCAGAGGGGCAGGTACAAGCCAGGGGCAGGGACTCTCTCCCATGCTGCTCGTGTCTCTAGTGGCACAGGGCAGGGGCACAGTGCCCAACATCGTCGGTCTCAGCTCAAGGGCAGCTTTGCAGGCCTGTCCCATGGGGAGCTTCAGGCATCAGTCTTAGGGTACCAGACTGTGCTCAGCCCTCAGCCCAGGACAGGAGGCACGAGCAAGACAAGCTACTGGTTACTGGTTGGTGACACAGGACAGCTGCTCTCTGGAGACAGCTCCATACACAACACAGTCCTGCAATTCTGATACTGGGAAAGGATGCAAGCCTGATAATTGGGAAGAGAGTGCTGGGGGTGGGGTAGAGCAAGAGGAAGGCATCATCCCTACACCTAACCCAGAGGGCAGCTGCCCCTGCCCTTCGGCTCTCGGACAGCGTGCAGCACACAGTCACATCCACCATCACCTCCACCAACCAGGCCATTGGTTCTCATGGGATCTCACTGGTGATTACTGCACGGTATTGTAAAAAACTAAGACTTCCAGTGCCTAGAGGGCTCCAAGAGAGCTGGAGAGGGACTTTTGACAAGGGTCTGAAGTGCCAGGACAACGGGGGATGGCTTCCCACTGCCAGAGGGCAGGTTAGATGGGATATTGGGAAGAAATTCTTCCCTGTGAGGGTGGTGAGGCCCTGGCACAGGTTGGCCAGAGAAGCTGTGGACACTTGAAACTGTCCAGTGCCAGGCTGGATGGGGCTTAGAGCTGGTCTAGTGGAATGAAGAAAGCTTAAGTGTTGTGCCAAAGTCCCTCTACTCCTCCCTTCTACAAATAGATTTAGCTAGAAAGGCAGGGGCCTCTCATTTTTCCACTGCTCAAACCACCAAATGGACCAGTTCCCAGCTGGATGCAAAAGCTGTACCAGTCTGACACCAGGTTACTGGCTCTGAAGTGAACACACACATTCCCAAAGGATCATTACTGGGGCATTTGGATAGAAAGGGCAAAAGGAGCATGCCCTGACATCCCCAAGAGTCTTGATTATACTAAACAATCATATTGAGACGAGGTAGGATTTGCCTCCCACAGAGAGACAAACTGCAGTTTCAAGGTTGTGGAAAGCCTCTTGGCTCATAGAGACCTGAAATCTGTCCCCTTTGAGGCTTCAGAAACATTTAAGGATTACCTGATTTGGGCAGTGGACTCTTCGGTACATCTTTATCTCTGCTTTCCATTTGCACAGCACATCTTGACTAAACGTGGGCAGTCCAGGCCGAGTGTATTTCAGCTGAGACAGAGATGGAATCGAGAGCTGGAAGCAATGCTGGCTACACAGACTGCCAGCTATGCCTCTTCCTCTTCCAGACTGTGAGACACAAGTGCTATTTCTTCTACTCTAGCAGCCAAAATCACAATAACCAATGTTTTCCTGTCTCACTGATTGCCTAGAAACATAACTGAAACTGGAGAACCCTCCCAATACCAGAATCTGAAACTTCCCATAGCCTTGACTAAAACAATTCCTCTAAATGTACTTATCCCACCGAAATCATAAAGCATCATTTTCCCTTAGGTTTCCTTTACAGCCTAAAAGATGATCCTGGAAATTCTGAAGCCTGAAACATGGAAATATCACAGCATGGCCAAAGTGATGTGCAGCCTATGACTTATGAACAACATCATGCCCATAACTGCCCATGTTCCTTGTGTCCACTGAAAATTCCAGCAATAGGACTTTACAGTCATTACAGCCTGCCTGGACAAAACACACCACAGCAATTGCTGCTGCAGCAGTACTGTAATCTAAGATGAAAGAGAGCAAAACCAAATCCCTCCCACAACATATACTGCTTTCCATGGGCCACTAAACACTGGGCAGGAGCCAGTACAAGACTCATCTGACATGAAGGTAAAAACTCAAATCTATAAAGCATTTTTAAGGCCTTGTACCTTCCGGTCATCTGGAATCAAGTCCTGCAGAACTTTTCTTTTGGGCCACTCTTTGGCCAGCTCTTCTCCAGCCAGTTCATGGAGATAGTAGATTGCCACCTTTGCAGATCTCCTCTGAACTCTGCCTGTGTTGTTTTGTTCCTGTTTCATTTCCATCAGGTCCCCTGTTCTTCTCTCCTCATGGAGGAAAGTGACCTGCAATGAAGGCCAAAAAAGGTGAGCCTCCTTCACTAGTTCCTATTTCAGTTACACTAAATACTGGGAATAAATATTCTGACAAATTCTTCATAAAAATGCTGCAGCAACTGTAGTTCACTGTCACAGACACAGGACAGAAGTGCATCCCACTAGTGAGACAGACCCCCAGATCTGCTCAGGGGGGTCACAGCAGTGAGGCTCAAGCAGAAAGTTTCATGCAGTCACTGGTCTTGAAAGGTATCCCATCATTCACTGTAAAACCCTTGCAGACAACGACCACAGCACTGCCTGTTCTGCTCCAATGGTGGGTCTTTTAAGAGCAAAGAAAAGCATCTCACAAGTTATGTTAGTATCACTCTTCCATGGAGCAAAAGTCAGGTCGGGGAAAGTTTACTGCTGCCACGCCAATTTACTGTTAAAAGCTTCATCCCAGTCAAAGAAAAGAAACAGCTGCTGCCAGAGGGAAAGTATCAATGACTACTCCAGAGAGACAGGAAAACACAAAGATTTGTGATCTGTAATTACCCACCAAAGTAGCAGACAAAAGCTTACGTGTGTCCAAGTGTGAGAGGCTGAGGTCCTCCCCCAGCCCCCTGCTAACCAGGGCAGGGGCACTCACCGGCCCGTGCTTGGAGCGGAGGTGGTACACCAGTCCTGCCTTTGATCTGTATGCTTTTCCACAGTGATGGCACTTCATAGCCATTTTCTCCAGCTCAGAAGCAGCCTTCCCACATTTTTTAACATGATACAGGTATCCCATTATGCTGGTGAAGGTGCCTGTGCAGCCCTGTCAACACAGAAGAAATATACATGGAAGAAAACCGTTCTCCAAGTGATCACGAGACCAGTGTATACACAGTTTGCTGACCAAAGTACTACCACTTTCCCTGACAGAACAGAGACAGGCAGGTAGAAAACTTTAATGTTAGTCTATTCAGATAGACAAAATCTGCAACAAAGAATTGGCATTGAAATGACCATTAAAGGTCTCTTTTAATCCAAACCATTCTATGATTCTATGTGACTCTGTCTTAAAAGCATAGCTACGAACTTGAAACAAACCTTGCTTTGGCCAGCACCAAATCATACCCAACAGCACTCTCCTGTTCTATGTTCATGCCTCCACTGCTGTTTAATTCACAGTTTGCACAATGCAGCTTACCTCCCTTGTACACTTCAGTTTTCCCATACACTTCAAAACCTTCCGGAGGCGGTCTCGCTCAAGCTGCTCGTCCACTTCCTCTCCCTCCTTCACAACTGGCTAAAGCGCAGCAGAAAGATGGATGGAAAACACATGAGACTCAGCATTTACAGTTCTTCTCATAGGGAATTCACTACTAAACACCCTACTGAAGGAAAGCTTCTAAAATAATTAAATGTCTGCAACTTATGATTTTATGGATGTGCATTTATTATACCGATCACTTTCCATATCTGTGCTGGTTTGGGCTGAGGTGGAGTTTTCTTTGCAGCACCTGGTATGGGGCTGTGTTTCAGATCTGTGCTGAGAACAGGGCTGATAGTGTAGAAATGGTTTTGTCAGTGCTGAGCAGCACTTGCACAGCATCAAGGTCTTTTCTGCTTCTCATCCCTCCCTGCCAGTGAGCGGCCTGGGGGTGCATGAGCAGGGGAGGGGACACAGCTGGGACAGCTGACCCCAGCTGGCCACAGGGATGTTCCAGACCACATGGTGTGATGCCCAGCATATAAAACTGGGGGAAGGAGGAGGGAGGGGAGCAGCGTTCAGCGATTGGTCGTCCCAAGCCATTATGATGCGTGATGGAGCCCCGTGGTCCTGGGGGTGGCTGAACACCTGTGTGCCTGTGGCTAGCAGGGGATGAATTCCCTGCTTTGCTCTGCTTGTGTGCATGGCTTTTGCTTTACCAATTGAACTGTCTTTATCTCAACCCATGAGTTTTGTCACTTCTACTCTTTAACTCCCTTCCCCATCCTGTGGGTGGGGGAGTGAGCTCGAGGCTGCGTGGGGCTTGGCTGCTGGCTGGGGTTTAACCAAACCTGAATTATCTTTAAAAGGAGTAAACTGACAGAAAATCACGCATCTTTAACATTTACTGGTCCTAGTGTTTCCACTTAGCCTGACTAAAGCCTGCTTGCAACACTTATTCATCTGTGCTAAACTACAGCTCAAGCTCTTTATTCTCTCTCTGATGTTATTGTACATTATTTCCTGCACTACCCAATATTACACTTAGACTGAATAGAAAGTTAGAACTGAGCGACAGATCTAATCCTCAGGTGCTGAATATGATCCCTGGTCTGTACCATTTACTAATACAGCTGTAGGTTCAGAAACTGCAGTACTGGGAATTGTGTAAAAAATTACAGTTGTGAATTTTCTGAACCTTACCCAAACTTCCAAGCGACTGTTTCAAAAGTTCTAATTCTTCACAACTACAACAGGAGACACTGCCTTCTTTAAAGTAACAGCGAAGACGAAAAGCAGATTGTAGCATTGGTATTTTTACAGTAAAGAGAGACAAGAATTAATTTCTGGTTCTGTTTTTCTACCTTTGAAGTTGTAAAGAACTCGAATCTAGTCTGCTCTGGATGTAAAAAAACAACCTCCTGCTTTCTAGCAAAGGACTGAAAATTGCAGCCTAATGAGCAATCTTTTTCTTTCTGACTGAGAATGCCTTTTATGCACGACTTATTACCAGCCAAAACAGAAATTCATCCCCTCTTTTTACGATGTGGCATCCCTACTTTACTGTTTTTCAGATGTCAAGTCTCACAGGAAAAATAATAGGCAGACGAGATTTGAATAGCTACAACATTTGAAAAAAACCACCCCGTGTTCTGTTTCTGTGTGTGCCAGGGAAGGAACAAAAGCCTGTTCTTCCTGTAGGAGTTTTAGATGCACAGCAGGTGTGTTACCTGATTGTTATGGTCTGCCATGACATGGTATTTCATCCCTGCTGAAGACTTCAGCTGCTTCCCGCACTGATGACACGTGAACATTTCCTAGAAATAAACAAGGACAGAGTGTTAATTAATCAAAGCAGTGGGAAACTTTGGGGAAAGGGAGAAGGAGAGCATAACATTTGGTTTGGACCTGGTAATTGCCCTCTAAGAACAGACTTTACAGAGTCTAAAATTTAGTGGAACAATGAAACAGCTACACCTTTGGTCACTACCCCAAACCTCCAGCAAAAGGCTGGGCAAGAAGCACCAAGCACAGCCTCTTACAGATGTATAAAGGACTCTTGCTTAGGGACATGATGATGATGAAAACTGGTTTTAAATCCAACACAAAACAGTGTGCAGGCATTTTTATTGGCAAGATAAAGAGAAGTAAAGAAACACTTGCTCATCTCTCGTGTTCTTACCTGCCTGCAGTTTGCCATATGTTTCTTCAGTCCTTCTACAGTCTTCCTCACCACAGCCCGGCAGGTGGGACAGGTAACTCGGCCTTTGTCCTGGATCTCCAAAGACCACTGCTCTTCCATACTACCTGTCAAAACACAACCTTTGCAATGTAACTGCTAACACTAAATCTTTTTTTTTCCTTCAATGTGCACAATGAACTCTAGGAAGAAACAGGTCACATGCTACCAAACTCACATCCAGCTACACTTCAATAGGTGTAGCTCATCTGCAGCTTTAAGTATGTCATGTGACAAGGCACACATCACTCCTTCTGGAAGAGCATTTTACAAAACTCTTTAATCCTACCAGTCCCTTGTTAGGAGTGTTCTTCCACTTGTCTGGTAGAGATTTTTCCTGTGTTCATTTCTGTTACACAATTACTTTAGCATGCTGAGTAAACTTGTCTTTTGGCAAAAGGGTTTTCCCAGTAAAAGCAGTCACAGATGTGACTGAACAGTCTCAGGAAAAGTCTATGGTTTTTCTCTACCAACTTTATGAATGCTTAGCAGCACCACCAGGTCAACAGCCACGGAAAAGCACCCTGTGTGACATGGTTTCCAGTTCCTGGCCTCTTTGCAAAATGCCAAGCAAAAGTTTGGCATATAATCCACAACGATTATAAATTACTGAAATTGGTTCTGGGAAGAAAGTGTCTTAGCACCATCTGCCTGAATTCTTACCATTACAAGATCCAAAGGCTTTCCTCTTTTCCCAGTAATAATAGCCCAAGGCTGTTCCTCCCCAGGTGGTTGGAGGAAAAGTTTGTGAATCAAACAGCACTTGGCAGAAAACTGGAGTGTTTAATGAGTGCTGTGAACTACAAATACCGAGTGATTCCACTCACTGAGTCAAGGCTAGTTTTATTTTTCTAGCACAGACTGTTTGAGTCTCTGGTTCCCAGAAAAGGTGAGCTGACAGCAACAGCTACAGTTTTTCCTGCAAACATATTCTGCTGAGTAAAAAATATAAATATTTTTATGAGTTTTTAAATGCAACTATTTTAACAGGCTTTTCTTCAGTTCAAAAAGTGATTCCCCCTTCACTGTTCCATTATGCAGTGGCAAAAGCACATGGAACTACACTCAGGCAGTGTGCAGTCCCTCCAGTCCTGCTCTGCAGTACTGACATAGTGCCAAAAGGACAGCAGCCAGCTCTTCCTCGTCAACAGTAAAGCAAAGAACCAAATAGAAACACCAGAAACATAAGCTGTTGCTCAGATACAAATCTTAGAATCACATTTATCTTTTAGCTGCTTTATAAACAATTCTGAGCAACTGCCTCTTTTTCTTACCTGTGTCATAGGTTTCTGTCTCTTTCTGAACACAGTGGCCTTTCCTCTTGGAGTTTTGTTTTGTTCCAGCTTGCTGGTTTTTTCCTGTTATAACACAAACAAGACAGACCAGAAGACTTAGTTCTGCTAGCTTTGTTACAAAAAACAGATCTTTTTGCTAGAAAGCTGTTATTTAGCCTGCTGTCTCAAAGTTACTCATTCAGAAATGTTCAATTTTTTTTTAAAGGAATTTCAAGATTATGTTTCCTACTCCCCTTCAAAATCCATGGCTATTTACAGTGGCAGGCATTAGTCCCACCCAGATATTTGTAGGTGTATGGTTTTTCATACACAAAGCTCAGGAGATGGGAACTCTTCACACTGAAACATCCTCTGTGCACAGTTTGGCTGAGCCCATCTAATGACAACCAAATGGAAAGTCACATTTCTCTACTCATTCCTATCTTCTTCAGACTAAATGACTTTTATTGTTTCAGCATTTTCTCATGGGTTATGCTTTTTGCTCTCATCTCCCTGACCTCTTCAGTTGGACCACACATTTCCTGAGCTGAAGTGCCTGCTGCTGGAAACAGCACTCCATGTGTGACCCTGCAGTAGAGCAAGAGAATTACTTCACATGTCTGAGAACCCTACATTCCTCTCAAAGTTCTCAGTCTAACATCTGCCTTTTTAAAAACAAGTATGACACTGCTGGTCCCTATTCAGCTTTTGATCTGTTATAAATCTCAAATCCTCTTCTGAAGCACTGACTCCTGGGAGGTTGTTCTTGGGTTTACAGCTGTGATAGCATTTCTTCCCAAACTACAGAATCTTTAATTTTACACACTGTTCTCTGTTCTATTTTTAAATTGTTTCTCTAACCTCAAGACCACTTTCACTTTTAGCCTTTTCTCTGATACACTTACCACCTCTTTCAGCTTTGTGCTGCCTACATAGTTCCAAGTCCTTGGTGACAAAATCAGTAGTTAGAACTGAATCTAGGGACAGACTGTGAACCATCATTCTATACTCCTATTTCACTAAGCTAGTGACCTCATTGTAGAGGGCTATCAGGTTGATTAAGCAGGATTTGCCCAGCATGAATCCATGTTGACTACTCCAAATCCCCATCTTGTCCTTCACATGTTTGGAAATGCTCTCCAGGATGTATCTCTCCATCACCTTCCCAGGGACTGAGGTGAAGTTGACTGGCCTGTAGTTCCCCAGATCTTCCTTCTTTCTGTCCTTGAAGACACGAGTGATATTTGCTCTCTTCCAGTCTTCAGGAACCTCTCCCAGTTGCCACGACCTTTCAAAGACAGCCAAGAGTGGCCTCACGACGGCATCAGCCAGCTCTCAGCACTCAGTGCAACCTGTCAGGCCCCACGGAACTTAGAATCATAAATTGTTTAGGTTGGAAAAGCCCTTTAAGACCACCATTCCCCAGCACTGCCAAGGCCACCACTAATCCGTGTCCCCAAGTGCCATATCCGCACGGCTTTTAAGTCCCTCCAAGGATGAGGACTCCTCCACTGCCCTGGGCAGCTGTGCCAGGGCTGGACAGCCCTTTTGGGGAAAAAACTGTTCCCAATATCACATCTAAGCCTGGTGCAACTTGAGGCCACTCCCTCTCATCCTGTCCCTTGTTCCCTGGGAGCAGAGCCCGATCCCCCAGCTCCCCCCTCCTGTCAGGGAGTTGCAGAGCCAGAAGGTCCCCCCTGAGCCTCCTTTTTCTCCAGGCTGAGCCCCCCCAGCTCCCTCAGCCCCTCCTGCTGCTCCAGCCCCTTCCCAGCTCCCTTCCCTTCCCTGCACACGCTCCAGCCCCTCCCTGTGTCTCCTGTGTGAGGTCCCAGAGCTGCCCCAGCACTGGAGGTGCCCCAGCAGTGCCAGCACAGGGAGGGCACTGCCCTGGCCCTGCTGCTCCAGCAGTGCTGGCACAGCCCAGGGGCCACTGGCCTCCTGCCCACCCAGGCACAGCTAGGATCATGTTGAGCCACTGTTGACCAATACCTCCAGGTCCTTTTCCAGCTTTCCAGCCACTCTGCCCCAAACCTGTAGTGCTGCATGGGGTTGTGGTGACCCAAGGGCAGGACCCAGCACTTTGCCTTGTTGAATCTCACACCGTTGGTCTCAGCCCATTGACCCAGCCTGTCCAGATCCCTCTACAGAGCCCTCTTGGTGTTATCTGTGAACTCACTGAAAGTGCACTCAATCCCCCTGTCCAGATCATCAATAAAGATATCAAATCACAATGGCCCAATCTTGAGCCCTGGGGACAGCACTGGTGCCCAGCCCCAGCTGGATGTCACTCCATTCCCCACCACTCTCTGGCCCAGCCATCCAGCCAGCTTTCTACCCAGCAAAGAGCACCCCTGTCCAAGCCATGAGCAGCCAGCTTCTCCAGAAGAATGATGTGGGAAATGGTGTCAAAGGCTTTACTAAAGTCCAGGTAAATAACTTCCATAGTCTTTCTCTCACCTGTGAAATGCATCACCTTGTCACAGAAGGTTACTCAAGCAGGTTATTTAACCTGTCACATCAGGTTAGTCAAGCAGGACCTGCCTTTCCTAAACCCATGCTGTCTGGGCCTGATCACCAGGTTGTCCCAGATGTGCCACATAATGGTACTCATGATAATCTGCTCCACATAATGGCACTCATGATAATCTGCTCCACATAATGGCACTCATGATAATCTGCTCCATGACCTTCCTTGACACTAAGTTCAGAGCAACAGGCCCGTAGTTCCCTGGATCCTCCTTCCGACCCTTCCTGCAGACAGGTGTCACACTGGCTAACCTCCAGTCCTCTGGGACCTTCCCCTTTAACCAGGGCTGCTGGCAAATGATTTGATAAATCCAGTTTAAGTGCTCTAACCTTGTCCTCCTTCACTGAGCGTAAGGCTTCCTTCTTCCAGACTTTCCCTCTGTCTGGTCTCAGGCTCTTGGGATTCCTGAAGGATTCCTGTAACAGATAAAGATTGAGGCACAGGAAGCATTGAGTACCTCAGCCTTTTCCATGTCCTTTGTCACCAGCTCTCCTGCTCTGGTGAGCAGCACACTCATGCTTCCCCCAGTCTTCCCTTTGCTGTTTATGTTCTTGTAGAATCCTTTCTTGTTGCCTTTCACATGCCTTCCAAGATTCAAATACAGGTTGGCCTTGGCTTTCCTAACCTCATCTGTGCAAGACTGGGAAGCAAATGTACACTTTTCCCGTGTCACCTGCTCCTACTTTCCCCACTTGTACATCTCCTTTTGCATCAACTACTGATTGACAAACCTTTTGAAGGAATGAAAGGCCTATGATATCAAGCATTTCTCCCCTCCGTCTCTGTGGCAAAAGAAAAGTGTTTGGGTTTGATTTCTTAACAAACCCATACTGCTGTTATCATCTACTCACTAATCTCCAGATGTTTACAAGTAATCTGTCTGATTATTTAGTCTATAATCTTTTGGGAAACTGAAACTATGCAGACTAGCCTACACTTCCCCTTTGTTGGACTTCTAAGACAGACTGAAATTACAACAATCACCTCCCACCATAAAGCAGATACTAGTCAACAGTCTCCTAGAACAAAATAACCAGAATCCAAAATAATGTTTGAAGACTGTAGAAGATGACATTTGGGCAGAGAAGTCTGAAGTACCTGGAGGCTTGTAGTTAGGAATTAGAAGTTATTTGTATTACCCCAAACTTTTTGCTTCTTCTTGGGAGAGTCTTCAACATCTTCGCCTTCCCCTTGCTCAGATTTCCTCTTGCCTTTCAATAGTACTTCTCCTGATAAGTAAGAACAGAAACACTTCAGTGTCAGTATTCAGTCTTTGAGTCTACGCTGCCCCATCTTACCCTTGGATTCAACACTTAATCAAAAAAAGAGTAGTTCTTGTAAGGCATCTGGACACTAGTGAGTTAGACTCTAACTAGTGAGTTAGTCTTCTAACTCAGCAACATTTAGGCACTCCACAGCCTGCAATTCTCTGACACAGAAGGTATGGAAGAAGCAGTGCCACAGCATGGTCTGGGAAAATAATCCTCCTCGGGATGAGACCCAGAAGGTGCCAGGTTATGTCATAAAAACCTCACCTGCACTCTGTGAGTGTGAGTCTGTCTGTAAGGTCTGCCCCCACCCCTGGCACGGCTCTGCAGGCTTCAGGGGTTAGTACCTCCATGCAGCAGCAACTGAGGATACTGGGACCCAAAGGCCAGGTACTGAGCAGACTAAGTGTTTAAGTGCAGCTGCAGGAGAGATCCACATTGCACATGTGTGCACGCACAAACATACATGCATATACATGTACTGCTTTGATATATACTTTTTTATATGCTGCTTTTCTCTCACTTACACACCTTCATCCTGATCAGCCAGAGAGGGAACAGGATGGAGGCTGTTGGTGCTGTTTGTGTGAGTGCTGATCTGTGTGGCTGCTGTGTACGTGTGTTTTATGTCTGCGTTTATTCCTACAGGAATACACGTGCAGTCTTGCCACCAGCTGGACCTGGGGGTGTGGAGCTGCAGCAATCTTGTTTCTATCAAGCTACCAGATTTGCCTCTCCCCACAACAGGATGGAACACAGATTCTGACTTAGAGATAAGAAGAACGAACAATAAAGCAGATTGTAGTTTTTGCTCTCTGCCACACAGTAAGTTCGAAAAACAGCTCCTAGGCCAGGAAATCTGAATGTTCCTACAACAACTTAAGACCCAACTCCCAGTCAGAAAATCATAAATGACAGAAGTAAGAAAATAAAAGAAATGAAGACACCTTTAAAAAATAATAACCTACCAAACACAAAAGCTGTGTCTAATCCCAAATATTGCTGAATGGTCCCCTTTGCCCATCTTCAGTGTTGATGGTTCTATTTTCAAAGCTCTCAAAGCATTTTTCTGATATGATTGGCATAACTCTTCCACCTATCTCTTCTACAGATAAAATCGAGTTCAGCCACAGAATCATCAGTTTTAATAGACAAGTCACTCAAAAGGAACTGCGTAATGTCAGAGAATTGTACCCATATTTCTGCAGTGGAAGAAGTTTATTCTAATACATGAGCAGCACTAGGAAACTTGTAATTTGTGGTTGAACTGCAGCATATCTTTCAGAAGCAAACTAATCTCTCACAAAAGAACCAGAGAGAAGAACATTTTGCATGGAACCAACAGTGATAAGTACCTTTTTTTTCTGGAGATTTGTTAACACTGTTTTTCACTCCTCTCATCTCCAGCCAGTAAGCAGGTCTGCGGATGGTCCGCTTGCTTCTGGACTCTGTGCTCCCGTTCACTGGGCTCTTCGCTGAGGCAGAAGAACCGTTGCTCACTGTGTCATCACAGTTACTGTTCACTCCTAGAACAGTAGTTTCCACCTCCTCAAATTGCTTAGACCTGGAAAACATCAAGTTGAAATCCTATGTATATGGACGCACATCTGTATATGGATATATATACACACAATCACAGTAACTTGACAGACAACACCCCTTTCATCTTCCCAAGTATTCTAAAAATTCATCCCATAGTTCACTAAATCTCCTGTGTTTTGGGAACTGGAAAATGACATCAAGATAAACCATCTTCACTGTTATTTTTCAGTACATCTTTTAGATAATGTCATTAGTAAGCTCTCAAGAGGAGCAGAAAAATATTCCTTCTACCTCAAACTTTCAACTTTAGAAGCAGGCATAAGTGAATCTCAACTTAAAAATATGCATTTATCTTTAAGCAACCAATGTAGAATATAAGAATTTTTCTGCAGGCCATCATTACAAAAGAGACATCTTCCATCTCACAAAGGGCAAGATCTCCTTCAGTCTCTATTCCCAGAGTCAAGGTTGGCACTACACAATTAAAAGCCTTAATGCTAGTAAGAATTTTAACTAGCAAGGCTTTCCACAATGAAGACAACCTTCTAGTATATCCCACAAATCAAACTACATCAAGACTAATTCAGATTAATCAGTGGCACTGAATTTTTTTCCTAGAGATCAAACAGAACTTTCTTTCACTGTTCTCAAATATTTCTCAGGCTTGACATCCTGGACATTTATACTCCTGTACATAACAGCAAACTGATGAGGTGTCAAAGAAACACAGACTATCTGTTCTCTGGGCAAATACCATTAATGTAAAGACGAAAAAAACAGAGAACAGAAACACTTTGCTACTACAATTCACAAACTGAAATCAGTAGATCACTTGAGTGATGACTGTGGCAGCCATTCCATAAATACTCTCCCACCCCCTGAGCTATGGAGCTCACCTTTTAACCCATCAATTCAGGAATTAATAAGTGGGGGACACTGACAGTACCAGGTCAGATCAATATATACTATATTTAAGGAGATAATGCAGAAGCATGGGAAGAGGAATTCTCAAATTAAAGCCTTTCAGTTACAATCACACCCAAAATACATAGATTTTGGAAGACCATGTGGTCTTGGACTTTAAATATTTCTCTTCACAGCGTTAAAATCCTTTAAAAAAATTAAAACTACACTGGAGTGTCAGAAAAGCACTTTTCCTACAAACCAATAAGCAGAGTCAGTTGAGACTCTTATCACACAAACTAGAACTGCTGCAACTCTTAAAATTCACAATATTATATAAAGACCACATACAGTTTTTCAATAAGAATCTCTCAGCTTTTTTCTTATCCTCAGTCAAACTAGACAAGAAACATTCACATACTTTTTATTTTCCAAGGACTTCTTGACCTTCTGCTGTCTGTGATGTCCAGTCCTGGTGTGCTAACAAAACAGAACAATTCACATGAGCATCATCATTGTCTTCTTTTAGCACGTTTCACTTTCCAGTCAAACCCAATCACCTGCACATCGAAGATGTGGATACACCACCCTTCCAAAAGGAAACCACTGTTTTCCACAACGGTGGAAGTGCTTAACATTTCCAATTCCAGCTGAATTAGAACTGGAATCAAAAGAGGGATCAGCCCCTCCACCCTCCTGATATGAAAGGCAATTCTTCCTCTTGCAATGGGAAATGGTGGAGTGTTCTTTGTCTCCAGTACCTTCAGCCATCCATACTTTCTGCTTAGACTTTATCACACGGTGACATACATTTTAGATCCTAACTTGTTAGTTCTTACATAGTGCTTATTTTTCCTTAATTAATTCTTGTATTTACCATGGATGTTGGCGAGAACGTTATCTCTAGTCTCCTTCATGCTCTTTTCATTAATCCCACTTTGCCATACTCCATCAGCTGCCCAGATGTTCACTTTATCCACATCACAGACTCCTTCTTATTTAACAAACATTTTTTTTGTCACTCACCACTTGTTACGCTCCTATTAAGACATGTAATTTAACAGACCTATCTAAATGTACATTCCCAATTCAGTATGAACAACTTATTTGCTATATATTGCTTCTAGTGCGTGGACAATCATTTCACAGAATCCCAGAATATGCTGAGTTGGAAGGGACCCACAAGGATCATCGAGTCTAACTCCTGGCCCTGCACAGGACATTCCCCAAGAGTCACACCATGTGCCCGAGAGTATTTTCCAAATGCCTCTTGAACTCTGACAGCCTTGGTGCTGTGCCCACTGTCCTGGGGAGCCTGTTCCAGTGCCCAACTACGCCCCGGGTGAAGAACCTTTTTCTAATATCCAACCTAAACCTTCCTGGAACAGCTCCAGCCGTTCCCTGGAGTCCTGTCCCTGGTCCCCACAGAGCAGAGCTCAGTGCCTGCCCCTCCCAAGGAAGTTGGAACTGCAATGAGGTTTCCTCTCAGTCTCCTCTTCTCCAGCTGAACACATGAAGCCACTGCTCACACGGCTTCCCCTCCAGGCCCTTCCCCATCTTTGCTGCCTCCTTTGGATGCTCTCTAAGGGCTCAATATCTTTATTATATCATGGTGCCCAAAACTGCCCCAATGTTGCAGGTGAGGCCGCCCCAGGTCAGAGCAGAGTGGGACAATCCCCTCCCTGACCCTGCTGGCAATGCTGGGCCTGATGCCCAACTGGCCACCCACCAGGACCCCCAGGGCCCTTTGCCAGCACTGCCTTCCAGCATCTCATTCCCAGTCTGTCTGTGCATCCGGAGTTGCCCCATCCCAGGGGCACAATCCGGCACTTCCCCTTGTTGAACTTCATATAGTTGGTGATTGCCCAGCCCTCTAATTTGTCGAGGTCTCTCTGTGGGACCTTCCTGCCTTCAAGGAAGTCAACAGCTCCTCCCAGTTTTTTTTTGTTTTGGTTTTTGTTTGGTTGGTTTTTTTGGGGGGGGTTGTTTGTTTGTTTGTTTTAATTTATTTTTAAATTTAAAACAGTGACAGGTCGCCAGTCTGATGTCACCCCATTCACTGTTACCCTTTGTATTTAATCATCACCTTCTTCCAAATGCTAATAATGACTCAATGTCATTCTTGATTCGGAAATCCAGGACAAAAATCTTGGTTATGCAGACTAAAAAAAACAAAAATCATTGCCCAATGGAAGCATATGAAAACCAAAACTGCAATTTAGTGAACAGAGGTAGTATTTTGCCATGTACATGAACTGGTTAAGAAACTGGAAGAAAAAAATAAAAGAAGAAAAAAAAAAGAAAAAAAAATTGCTAAATTACATGTCTTCTTTATAGAAAAATGTGATGCATGTGATCAACTGTAAGAGACACTCCAACCACGAGTGACAAAATTCAGTAGCATGCACTGACACAAACATTTAGAGGAATTCTTAAAACTGTGTCTGTGTAGCATCAGACTCTCCTTGGGCCTCCAGCCGCAGACACTGCTCATGGAAATGTTAAGGAAATGAGAAATGTGGAGAAACCTCACTGAGGAGCAGCCAGAAAAAATCAAGGCTATGAAGATACAACAATAAAAATGAAGAAACAGGCAGACAGAGTCTGCTGAAATTAGCTCACCTATTCCACCATTAGAAGAACCAAAATGACCGACAAACGTTGCACATGTTTTAAGATTCATGGGGTTTTTGGAACTAAAAAAATTTGCATAAAAGTGAAGATTAGTACGCAGAACTTTGGTGGTAGCTAATAAAAAAGGAGAGTGCAGACAATCTGTCAGACATTCCTTTCTGAGAAGTTGATAGCAGCAACCACGAAGGAAACACCTACAAAAGTGGCGTTTAAGTTCAGTTCTGAATGCTTTTTCATTTATACAGTGTACTTCCCACTTAAAGAGGAGACCCATGCAGGAATACCCAAGGGCTGGACATAAGAAAAACAAAAAAGCCACCTCCCTTCCACAGGTAAGGAAGAGAAACAGCGGCTCAGAGCCCGAAAGATGGAGAAGGGCGATCTCTGCCTGCCCCTGGGCTGTAGGCCCCTCCGGTGCGCTGGAACACGGCTGCTGCTGGAGACGGGCCGCTCCCCAGCACCCAGCCCAGGCACACGGTGCTTAAGCCCAGCGCAGGAACTGCCCGACGGGAGGGTTCTGACACGGGAACTGCGGGTCCTGAGGTGCCAGCGGGAGCGCCGGGCGTCCTGCGGGCCCCGAGCGTCCCCGGGACGTGCGGGAGGGCTCAGTGTCCAGCGCCACGTCCCCGCTGCCACCCGCACGCTCCATGAGCTCCGCTGTCCCGCAGCGAAGGCCTCTGGGCCCCAGCGCAAGGCGTCAGCAGTGCCCAGCTGCGGGTCCGTGCCAGGCCTGAGCCGAGCGGAGTCAGGGGCGGCCTGGCCTCGGGGCGGAAAGTGGCCGCTGCCGCCGCACCCCGGCAACCCGGAGCGGGTCCCGCTCGCCCGCGAACAGAGCGGGGCCGCTCCCCGCGCCGGGCCGGGCCGCTCTCCTTCCAGAGCCAGGCCCAGCGAGACCCCCGGGGGCGCCGGCCCGCTCCCGCCATCCCGACGGCGGAGCCCACCTCGCGGCAGCCCCTTGCCCGCCGCCCGGCCGCGCTCCCCGGGGCAACCGGCGGCGGCCCCGGCGGGAGAACCGCGGGCACTCACCGAGCCGCCGCCGCCGCCCCGCATGGTGCCGGTGC